CCAAAAAAATAATAGTTTTGTTTATAAAAAATATTTTTCAATTTCATAAATTAATTTTTACTTTGGTAAAAGTAAAGATGTCCCTCAAAAACATTTTTCATTCATAAATCAAACACTAGAAATCATCTTCGAAAAATATTTTCTACTCACCAACCAAACATGAGAAAATAAATCAAAAATCTACTTATTTTCCCGAAAAACATTTTCTAGGAAAATATTTTCCATGAAAAACATTTTCCTCCATACCAAACATACCCTTAGTTTTCATTTTCCTGGACCCTTATATTGTAAATTAAAATTGAATAGGTGAATATATTTAGGTGGAAATACGATCCCTAGCCTATTTTTTTTTTAACCTTTTCAATAAATATGGACAAACTCATATCTTTACAAATTGGATATTTATTGCTAGAATTATGTTTTTTTTTTTGGACGATGATAGATGTAATATGGAGTAATAGAATATTCACAAACTTACTTTTTTTTTCCTGGATCCAAAGGTTGTAAATTAAAATCCAAAAAGTGAATATATTTAGGAGGGGGATACAATGTCTTAACTTTAAAATTTTTAATAAATATGGACAAATTCATACTTTTACGAATTGGATCTTTATTGCTAAAGTTATGTTTTACTTATTTGGACGAAAATAGACCTCTCCTTATAATACGGAATAATAGAACATTCACAACCATAGTTTAAAACTTTAAAGCCAAATTTTCAAATTTTTGGTGTTTTGAATTTCTTTCCATGTATACTCACTTCGATGTCACTGTCCATGAAGATAGAGAAGAAAAAAAGGGAAAATAGAAAGAACGAAGACACAAATACAAAAGATGAAGTGAAATATCTTAAAATAAAATATGCACAAAATATTTTTTTTAAAAAAAAAAAGTTAAGAAAAAGGGAATCATGTGCTGTCGGTTTTGTTTCAACATAAAATGTAAACAATTTCAAACACGGTACATTTTTCTGGGGCGAGTTCCGGCGAGTCGGGCGTACCAAAAACGTATCGAGGCCCAAATGTAAGGCTTAAATTTATAGAGTGTAAGTCCTAAATTTTGGGGTGTAAGTTTTAATCGTAAAGAAACATAGTTTTAGACGTAAAAACATATGCTCTGAATATTTTTTAATTTTTTTTTTTGCTTTAGATCATCTTTTTTATTATTGATGTACTGATATTTTTCAAATAGTAATCATCTTCATTATTAGTGACTAATATGTTTTTCAAATAAAAATCATAATATCTTTTTACATATTATAGGTTATTTAATAAATTTATTTGTTTAATAATTGAAAGTTTTACTTTTATTTTTTTAGTAATAAAATTATATATATATATATATATATATATATATATATATATGGCTACTCTCTGTCGATTTATATAATTACATAAAACACTTCGCATCACGCTTCCACCTTTAAAAATATGCGAGTTTTAAATAGTTTGAACATAGTTCATTATCAATAGATCGTTTCAATAAGTTTTGGGGGCCTAAAGTTTTAACTTTCACAAAGAGGTCTTATTATCTTAGTTGACATATATGAATTGAATAATTATAACATGTTAAATGTAATTCTACAAATGAGAACTAAAAAGAAAGGATATATGCGAATATTATGAAATAAGAATACAAATAATATAAACTTTTAATGAAAAATATATCATATCAAATTAGAATAATAAAATCTGACACAAAATTAGAAAAGTTTATAAAATAATACAATATAGTGTTGTGCTGAATTTGATAAATTGATATAATGGTATTAGAATTTATTAGTTTTGGTGTTTGAAATTTGAAGAAGACAGCCCACTATTTGGAGTATTCAAATGGTAATTCTCGTGATTAAATTATATTGTCAATTAGGCCTTCGAGGTATAATTTAGATTGAGTCCAATTCAATAGCTTTAATTCAAATTATGTGGAGTATTCAAATGGTAATTCTCGTGATTAATTATATTATCAATTAGGCCTTCGAGGTATAATTTAGATCGAGTTCAATTCAATAACTTTAATTCAAATTATGTTCACTTAATTTTCTTTTGAAATTTTTATTTATTACTCTCTCCGTTAGGTATTGTTTGTCATGTTTTTATTTTTAGAGTTAAATTATAAAAATTTTGACTAATATTTTAAGATGTATTTTTTTATCATATTAACATGAAAAAAATTATTATTTATAGTACTTTTCATATAGTTTTAGAATATCTAATTTTTTTGTTTAAAATATCGAATTAATGTAATCTAATTTACCTTAAAAAATTAATTAAATTTACTTTCGAAAAGCACAACATGACAAACATTTCTGAATGGAGAAAGTATTAAAGTATTCACATTTATCATATTATTATAATTCTATTACAAACTCCAACATCCCTAATTTACTATTTTCTTGCTTTTCTAATTTTTTAAGGAAATAAAAGAAAGAGATTTGGGAATTTTGTTTTGAAGGGGGTAAATATTTTAGGTATATCCTTCATTAATATTCTATATACACCAAAAGTTACTTTTGTTGTCTTAAATATACTCTTAAATAAATAAGGGATAATTTCATCCCTTCAGGTTTCGCTTTATAATACTCACCTTTCTTGTGATTTATAATATCACGTGTATTTTTCTAGTTTTCATTTGCTTGTAACCATTTTTTAAACCAATTTAAAATAAACATAAATTAATTTTGATTTGACAATTTTACTCTTCTTTATATTTATTTCTTCATATTAATAATTATTATATAACAAACAACTCATTTAATAAATTATTTTAAAAATGAATCATCACACATACACATTTTTTTATCCAACGAAGATCAAAGTCTTCTTTCAAGCTAACCCACCGTTTTCACCCAATATTAACTCTTCATCTCAATTTCACCTTTACCAATTCTCATAGATTTATTCCTTCACAATAACCCATCATTTTCTTGTAACAATTTCTTAAAATAGAAGATAAAAATGAACTCCACAAGAGAGAAATTCGATAAAAACGTTCAGATTTTGTTCTAGTTAAATATTTCTATGAACGAAGAAGATATATAATCTAACAAATAGAGATAAATCGTTGAAAATTAGATCTAAATTTTCAAATGTAAGGGTAAAATTGTCAAATTTAAATTAATTTATATTTATTTTAAATAGGTTTAAAGAATGGTTACAAGAAAATGAAAGTTAGGAAGATAGACGTAATACTGTAAACCACACGAAAATGAATATTATAGAGCGAAACCTGGAGGGAGGTCTCTGAAATTATCCCAATAAATAAAGAGGTCTAAATATGTGATCGCTCTAACCTTGAAAGCTATGAAGGCATTTGAACATAAATTCTATTTGAAGATTGAAAAAATAATTCTAATAACTCACTCATTTGGCAAATTAATGGAAAATACTATAAATATTTATTAAAGAGAGACAAACTTCCCCTAATAAATAAGAAAAAGCTAAGAGATAAATTAAAAGGCAATAAAGCATAACAACACGTCGATGGCTTGAACTCTGTTTAATTAGTTTTTTTTTCCTATACTAATTTTCCAAATTATCGCTTTCTGCTTGGGATTGTGCCTAATTTTTTCCCCAAAATTATATTTTCTCAATTAATCAATGAAGTAATTATTTGAAAAATTTGTAAGGTGAAACTTAATCTACCTTACTTATATTTATTCCTATTGATAAATTTTAATTTTAATAAAGATCGCTATACATTTTATTTGTAGGAGTCACAAACTTAATCTACCTTACTTATATTTAGACATGTACGTTATGAGTAAACAAATATTTATTTCATGAATTTCCATATTAAAGGCTAAAAAAGCTCATATATTCATATGAATTTGATGAATTGAGCTTTTTTAACGTAATTATATCGTTTCAAAAAAAAAAAATTAATGAAGTTTCATTAATTAATATGAGAAGTCATTTATTGTCCGCTCATTCATGCATGTCACTTTTGAAACCATTGAGTGAAGAGGACCAAAAAAATGATTCATCTATATATATATATATGAGATTTTTTCAATCCTTAGTCAATTGTGTATGAAAAAAATGAATAAAATGATAATTGGTGATGAGACGATAAAATTGAAGTATATTTGTGTATTTTGCTTGATATTATTTATGACATCGGTTAATTGTACACATAAAAAAACATATCCTGATAATG